ACACACACACACACACACACACACACACACACACACATACCCAAACAACCTCAAACACGTCGGGATTATGCTCTGCCGCCAGCCAGTGAACCGACTCTTGCATCACGAGTGAAAACCAAAGTCAAAATTCATGTCATGGCTGTATTTTCGCTGGTTTCCCGACTTTCCACTGCTCAGTAAGACAAGAAAAAGAAAACAACCTAAACACACATTTAAAAAAATTATAAAGTAAATAGTACAAGAAAAAAAATATTGAAAACAATTAAGTCTAGATAATAAATGAAAAACAAACGAACGAAAACAGATATAAAACAAAAAAAACAAAAACAAAATAAAACAAAAACAAAAACTCTCCCAACTCAAAGTCCAACCCCAAATACGGCCGCGCACTCGCCATACCAACCACCCCACCCCTCCCCCACTCCCTTCCCTTTCCCTTCCCCGCACCCCTCGCCCCAGCAGCCCAAAAGGGGACACAGAAGACGCCGTCGGGAGGAGCCGTTAGCCCGGGGCGTCGCGTGGCCGGGGCGGGCGGGGCAGGAAACCAAGCTAACGGCCGCGAAGGACCCAGCACCCGGGACTTCCCCTCTTTCCCAGGCGAGGGAGATGGACTCAGACGCGCCAAGGAGCTTCGTCGCTTATCGATGGGGGCGGAGGGATAGGATATCGTCCTCTCCCGTCCTCTCCGTTACTGAAAGGCCCTGGAGGTGAAACTGTAACATATAAAACAGCTTCATTAAATATACTAGCCCTCCCACCCCTACTTGCAGGTGTAACTATAATAAAGCTTACTTGCAGACGTATTCGTAATGTAAAAACGTCACTAAATACACCAGCAATATATTATAATTGTAATATTTAAAAAAAACTTAATTGCACACACCAGTCTCTCCTCCTCACAGATATAATAACAATTTAAAAAAGCTTCATCAAGTGCACCCGACTCCCTCCCCACGGCTCCGGCAACATCTACAACGCCGACCTGCAGTTCTACTCGTAAGCACAGTACACAGCGCACCGTTATGCACATACGTCTTGCTGCCGGAGAGGGGGTGTGGGGGGGCGGGGGGCGGGTCCAAGAGGCCAAACCCACGGGGCCTTCTCGGTAACGAAGCAATAAAGCTCATAAGTGCCCATTTTGTGGCGGGAGATCGCCCTTGTTGCTCGCCTCGTTAAGGGTTTCACAGCCAGCGATAAGGAGGCCGATGGGCTGACCAGCGAGGCTCTCATGCGAAGACCTATGTAAATTACCTCTCAAAAATTCCTGCCTGTAAACATTAAAAATAAATAAATGCTAACTGTATTCATAATTAAACAAGAATAAACTGTAGCCGTAATAATTATAGCACCAACATTATGACCACCAACAGTAACAACTGCAATAACACCAACACCACCACCAACAACAACAGTATAACAGCAACGACAACAAAAAAACTACATAACCACCATCACTCACAGTAAAAACAACTGCAACACCAGCAACAGCAACAACAATACAATAACAATAATGCTACAAAACATTCGCTGAAAAATCATACCTTAATGATTTCCCCACACATGAAAAACACGAGAAAAAAACGAAAGCAGGGCATGGGACACGAAGGCATCACGATACACTTCCAGAAACCCCCAAACAGTGTCGTGTTGCCGGTTGCAGCTGCACAGTGGCCACAAGTGCAAGGGTTCCGTGACAGTGGAGAGACGCCTGGCCTTGACTGACCCACGAACACCCTCCCCCCATCTCCCTCCTCCCCTACCCATCCCCTCGCCTCTCTCCTCCTCCCTCCCTCCTTCCCTCCCTCGTCTCTCTCTCTCCTCCGCCACCCACCCCCTTCTCCCTCCTCCCCCCTACCCATCCCCCCCCACGGGACTCCACCCAACTCTGGCATTTGGCATTTAGCTGTTTCAACGCTTCTCCCGCCCGCAAAAGCCAGTCTCAGCTCCCAAGTTACCAGCATAACAGAGCGTGGGACTCATCTGCTTAGTCGTCGTGCACAAAAACGCAAGGACATTCGAATGGACAATCTAAAAATAATGCGAATAACTGTGAAAGAAATATCGCTAACACAGTACTATACCTGGAGGAAATAAAAAATAAATACTGATACTACTGCAAACCACAATACTGGAATAAATATATGAAAAGAGACAGTAACAGAGCTAGAAAAAAAACAATACCAATAACTAGTAACACCAATACAGTCCTAAACAAACTTTCCCAACGAAAAATCCGGATAAACGAGAGAGTAACCCTTTGCGTGCTCATCCGGACGGGAAACGGTCGGCCGCGACGATTCCTGCTTCGCTCGGGACAATGCAGACACCTACACACGCACACACACATATACACGCACCTACACACGCACCTACACACACGCACACACACGTATACGCACAAACGCATACACACACCTACACGCATGCACGCACGCACGCAGACGCACAAAAGACCTTTTTGGAAAGTTAAAGTACGTAAAAAAAAGAATCGATAACCATTTTGTCTTTCTCTAAAATACAAAAAAATTACATGAATGTCATCATAGAGCGCGACCCCCCCCCCTCACCCCCAGATGGTGCGTGCGTGTAGGGGGGGGGGGACTTCAATGCTCGCCTAGAAAGTGAGCTTCTGTTGGCACATGACACTTTCCTTTGCAAGTGACACGGAAGGCAGTGTCATATACATATCAGTGAACCGCACACCGTCTGATTTTCAATTGGACAGGAAAATTATATTATCGGAGAATCTAGCATACTACTAAAGCTCTAAGAGTGAAAATAATAAAATATAATAAAAAAGGACAATAATAAAAAAAATAATAATAGTAACAATAATAGTAATAAAAACAGTTATAATAAAAAATAATAAAATAATAATAAAAAAAATAATAATAACAATAATAATAATAACAACAACAATAACAATAAACATAACAATAACAATAACAAAACAACAACAATAATAATAATAATAATAATAATAATAATAATAATAATAACAACAACAATAACAGCAATGAAGACAATATATAATGATAATGATAATGATAATTACTACTAACAATAACAATACCAGTAATGATTGATAATTGATGACGATTGTGGTGATGCCAATGAAGACGAAGAAGAAGAAGAAGAAGAAGAAGAAGAAAAAAGATGGTGATGGCAGATAAAGATGATGACGATAATGGAGATAAAGAGGAAGACGATAATAACAATAACACTATAAAAAAATAAGATAAAAAACATATAACAAAAAACTCAAACACAAACAAACACCCTCCCCCTCCTACCTCAGCACCACCCGACCGCCCCCCTCCCCCCTCTCCTCCCACTCTCCGTCTCGCAAATCCTCCTCGCCTTTTTCGTTCCGCGTTTCCAAACTTATGTAAATCGCAGCGAGGAGGAGGGAAAAAACCGGTCTTCGCGAGCTATCCACAACACAACCTCACTACTACTACTACTACTCTCTCTCTCTCTCCCTCTCTCTCTCTCTCTCTCTCTCTCTCTCTCTCTCTCTCTCTCTCTCTCTCTCTCTCTCTCCCCTCCCTTCACCCTCTTAACCCCCCCCCCCTCATCCCTTATCCTCCCCCCTAACCTCCCTATCCATCCATCCCCCAAGCCTCCTTCCCTCCCCCTACCCCTACCCCATGCCCTATATCCTATATCTCACCCCCTATCCCCTATCCCCTACCCTCAATCTTACTCCTGTCCCCTCCACCCATACCCCCCCCCCCCCCGACGAGAAGCATCATCTCGCCTTCTCGCAAAAACACTCGACTATCGGCAAGGACAACGAGTGACTCTACCTGCGAGTTGGCGGCGAGATGCTGGGGGGGGGGGATGGGGAGAGAGGGAGAGAGGGAGGGAGAGAGAGAGAGAGAGAGAGAGAGAGAGAGAGAGAGAGAGAGAGAGAGAGAGAGAGAGAGAGAGAGAGAGAGAGAGAGAAAGGAGGGGGAGAAGAGCAGAAGCTAATAATTCGCCCAGCGATGAAAAACGATAAAAAGAACGAAAGAAAGAGAGAGAAAAAAAATCAAGCTCTATTTCTCAACGAAGCGCGTCCCTCTGCTACGATCTCCTCTTCCTTCCTTCCTTCCTTCCACCTCACCTTCCTCCCTTCCCTTCCTTTCTTCTCACCCTCCCTTCTCCTTCCCCCCTTCTTTCCTCCCCCCCTCCCCAAGCGTTTTACAAGCTACCTACAGCAGGCGCCGCTTCCCTCGTCCCCTCCCCTAAGAAAGACCGCAAGGGGCCCTCTCTCGCTCCTTGGCAAATGACACCCTCACCCTCTCTTTCGCGGCGCAAAAACTACCCCGCAGCCCACGTGACCGGCCGTCGACGTGCGCGCTCGCATCCCTAACACCCTGCTCACCTCATTCTTATAATTATATATATATAAAAAAAATGGTACTTAAAAAAGACAAGGCTGCTGATTAAAAAAAAACAATGCTATCCTTGTCCGATTTTTTCCATATACGGCAACAACAAAAAAAGAAAAAGAAAAACAAAAACATATCAAATAAAAAAACTAAATAAAAACTGATCCTTGAGAAGCACACCGACACCAGAACGACGGCAAAGGCAAGAACCTACACTCGTAACACGCCAAATTCAGAGCCGACGAGGAATATCAATAATGCATGAGTCGAAATGCAAATCGAAACACCTCTTGTGGCGCGTTAAGGAGAAGGAAAGCCTATGCAAATGAAGAGAATTGCTCATGTGCGCTCTTAGTAGGCATGTAGGGGTTCACTTGTTGCGAAGATTACGATATGCGTCTTCGAGAGGCGATGAAAAACTCAAACTCCTTGGTGGAAGCTTAGTCGTGAAGTGATTGTGATCCGGTAACTTTGTATTAATTCGATAAGATTATTGAATTGCGTATGTTTGTCTGGCCCATAAGTAAAACATTCGAGATCCAATATAAATAAACCGGAAGTAGAAATTCAATTAAATTAGAAGAAAACCTAAAACCCCGGCGGGAAGCCAAAAGGAGTACTCACTTGTAGAGGTTCTCTGCGCCGGCCCTGAGCATGAGCTCCTTGTTGATCTCCTGGTTGAGCTTGGAGCGGCGGTTCTGCAGCTTCCCGCGGCATGTCTGCAGCCGGGGGTCCGAGCCCTGGAACGAGAGGAAATGCAGTTAGGTTTTTATCCCAAAGCCACTCTTATCACGCAGGCAGTTTCGCCAAAATCACCCCGCCCGACTCCTCCTCCCAGTGCAATGTAATTTTGTACAATTGGCCCTCGCTTTCCCCCACTGGACTTCAGACTCCATAAAATGCGAATATGACAGGTAATGAAGCCCCGACGCCGAGCTCGCCAGTACCGTATCCTTGACAGATGTAGTTTTGCAAGTACTCTTTTTCACCTACGATTACCGCAGCATTACCGCCGGAGCACGCAGTTGGGAGGGAGAGAGGGCCGTCGAAGAGAAACCGCAGCGCATGCAATCAAAGGGAATTCCTGCGGGTCAAGAGCAGCGCGGCTCACGGAGGGCCTCAGCTGGTGACACTGACCGCGTGGGAGACGGCGGTGACTGTTCCTCCAGACACGAGGCGCCCTCCCACCCCCACCCCCGCCCGCATTCCCGAAGGAACTCCGGCCGCCTATAAGATCCTCCCCCGTCGGCTCCCACAACAAAGCGCGGATCCACTTCTCACGAACCGAAAAGGCTCGAATACTGTACGATTTTTTTTTTATATATATAAAATGGGAGGGTGTTGCCGGGAGTGCAAGGTCACGCTGCACCGACGCCGCCACGGCTGTACCGTATGTTGCACACTCGCAGCACTTTCACGCCCCCAGGGTATCCTCCGGTGTCCTCGTAAATCTTGGTTCCTCGACTCCCGCGGCGCAAACCTCAAGACGCGGACCGACGGCGAGCGAGGCACTGCCCACGGCGCTCGTGACTCACTGTTACGCGCGATGTACCAGTTACAACACAAGCCTTAGGCAGGGAGGGGGGGGGGTTACAAGCGCGATCGAAGGAGCGCACTTCACGAAAACGATCGTAAACGTGCTGATTATAAGAGAGCGAAGAAATCTACCATCAATCTATTTCCTCTATCCCTTGATACGCCCCCCGGAATTTTTTCACCCTTTTACCTCAGCGCACGTAACATCACCCTCCCTTCTCTTCTCGCTAGAAATCGCACCCAAAATTCCCTACATAAAAAAAAAATAAAAGAGAGATCCATCATTCATAATCCGATACTCTCCTGCACATGCACAGGCGCCGTCATGATGAACAGGCGAAACCAGCGACTCCCCCCTGATCCCGACATCCGGATCGTCATGCACGCCGCGCCCCGCTGCCTCGCTCGCTCGGGCTTGGTCATGCGGGGTTACGGATGCATGAGTGAGCGTCGGGAGGGGGTGGGAGGCGGGGGGGAAAGGTCAAACGAGAGTTAGTGCCGCTTGGAGGATGACCTTTGAGGCTGCGGCGTCACCTGGCATCCACCAGTGGTCTGTTCTACCAGGTGTTGTCACCGTGTTTGGATAGATTCGCTGGGGCAATTCGATAACCTCGATAAAACAACCTCGCCATGGATCTTATTGGCAGGGGCACCCACGCAAGACACCGTGTTCCTCTAGACACGAAATCTCGAAAAAATGGCACTTTTCGGTATCGCTTCATCAAGGGTGGAAAATGAAAACGAACATCCCATTAACAAAGTGTTTCCAAAATCTGCCAGGTGAAAGTAGCGGGTATATCATGCTGTACAGAATGAGGTTATCATCCCGTATCATACTAGCCAGCGATATCAATCAAATTCAACACAAAATAAATGCGAACGAGTAAGTGTAAAACATCACGCCACACACACGTGCCCATAATGAAAAAAAAATAATCTGATCTGATACCATATCCTCATACCAAATTCTGTACCGTATTAAAAAACATTCAAACGACTTAATCACACAAATCCTACGTCTTAAAACTATACCCCCAAAAAATGAACGTACACGAAACAACACTCCGACGCACTCAAACTTTCCAAGAAGCCGCAAAGTTTTATGCCTAAGGTCAGCCGAAGCCTTCCGGAGCGCGAATTCATACTGATATCACGCAAGATCCTGTTACGGCCTTAGCAAGCGGGCGGTGGGCGAGGCGGTATCTTTCTAGCATTTTTTTTTCTTTCTCGCGTCGAAATAGGGAACTTGTGTCTCTTTTTCATTGTTTTTTTTTCTCCTCGTTCTAGAATCGTAAGCATCATGCTCGCGAATGTATCTCAATCGGTCTCTTCTATAATTATAGGCCTATCTAATTTCCCACCAGTTTCCTCTCAAGAGTTAAAAATTTCTCTTGATTGAATTACTTTTTTTCCAAATTCTAAGCAACCACGCTAACCCCCCCACCCCCCTGCCCCACCCCAACGACACCAACTCGTCCCTATTTCTCCTTGCAGCCTTATCTCGTGCCGCAGCTGTGCAGTGTTGGAGCGGCGCCAGCTGACCGGCCAGGTAGGTGGGTCAGGAGTCAGAAACGAGGCCTGCCGAAGCTGTGACCCCGAGAGGCGACCATGAACTTTTTCCCCTTATCGATTTTTGGCCAAATTGACGGGTTTCGTTAACGGTCCGCGCTCGGTGTGACGAAGAGGGGGAGGGGGGGAGGGGGTAAGAGGGTCGCATTTAATGTGACGGAGGGAAAAAAAAGTTCGCTTTCGAAGTGACGGGGAAAAAAGGGGATTCCTTCCGCGTGCCTATAATTCCCGATGAAGACGCCATAACGGAGATACGCAGGCGGTTCTCACATCTTCAAATCCTAGCATGACTTGCCTCTCCTTCTCCTCCTCCCCCTTCCTCCCCCCTTCCTCCTCCTCCTACCCCTTCCTTCACCTCCTCCTCCTCCTCCTCCCCCTCTCCCCTTCTTCTTCCTCCTCCTCCTCCTCCTCCTCCTCCTCGACGTCACCCTCCGCAGCGTTTCTCCCATAATTACCTTGTTTGCGGCCTCTCCCGCCGCCGCCGCCCACCCCTCCGCCATCGCCATCTCCCCATGACGGAATCTCCGGTCACTCCTGGATGCCGCGCTACATCCCTATCGCTCACGGATGATCACGAATCCACACTAGCCATATCCACCACACTCCTCATCCACCACACTCCTCAGCGACCACACGCGATGCGTCAAAACCCACTTCCAAATAAGCGTCTGTCTACCCATGGCTTCCAGAAAGAGTTTTATAACAGGCCTTCGGAGACCCTTTCTTAGTCGTCCTCGAACTCTTGGTCTCGACAGGAAGTCGTCAGTCGCTCGAGACGTTGCGTGGTGGTCTCGAAGGCATTTCTGTCCTCTGTCCTCCTTCTCTCTCTCTCTCTCTCTCTCTCTCTCTCTTTCTCTCTCTCTCTCTTTCTCTCTCTCTCTCTCTCTCTCTCTCTCTCTCTCTCTCTCTCTCTCTTTGTCTCTCTCTCTCTCTCTCTCTCTCTCTCTCTCTCTCTCTCTCTCTCTCTCTCTCTCTCTCTCTCTCTCTCTCTCTCTCTCTCCGCTCGACCTCGAACCTCTCCCGACCCCCCCCCCCCCCGAAACTTAGACCAGGCAGCCTAAACACAGACCTAAAAATACAAATACCACGTCACACTTCACGGAGAATACCCCCCCACACACACACACACCAAACCACCACCACCACGTCCCCCCCCCACGAGGTATAACTGTGACAAGAAAATTAAAAACAACAAAAAAGGCACACACACACACACACAAAGGGGAGGGGGGGGGGGGGGGTTGCCGCGTGGATGAACCGAGCGCAGAACAAAGAACAAGAAGAACGCGGAACACAAGCAGAAACAGCTGAAGAACAAACGAAATAATAACGACGTTCTGCCGTTGTTCTCTCAGCCGGCCGCTCGGAACACGCAATTAGCGAAGAAAAGGCGTCTTCGGTCTACGCTCTAAGACGCACAGTTACGCGCATACATTAATCAATCAAGCACTGGGCGTCGGATATGTGGGTAGATATAGGGGGTAGAGGGAGAAGAGAAGAAGGGGAGGGGGAAGGGGGAGAGGAGAAGAGGGAGAGAGGTGAAGAGGGAGAGAAGAAGAGGGGGAGGAGGAGAAGAAGGGGAGGAGAAGAAGGGGAGGAGAAGAGGGGTAGGAGGGAAGGGAAAGGAAGGGAAGGGAAGGGAAGGGAAGGGAAGGGAAGGGAAGGGGAGAGGGAGACGGAGAAGGGGAAAAGGAGAGAGAGAGAGAGAGAGAGAGAGAGAGAGAGAGAGAGAGAGAGAGAGAGAGAGAGAGAGAGAGAGAGAGAGAGAGAGAGAGAGAGAGAGAGAGGGGGGGGGGGGGGGAGAGAGGGAAAGAGAAAGAAGGAAAGAGAGAAAGAAGAAAGAAGACAAAGAAGAGAGAGAGAGAGAGAGAGAGAGAGAGAGAGAGAGAGAGAGAGAGAGAGAGAGAGAGATAGAGAGAGAGAGAGAGAGAGAGAGAGAGAGAGAGAGAGAGAGAGAGAGAGAGAGAGAGAGAGAGAGAGAGAGAGAGAGAGGGCGTGTGTATGTGTGCATAAATAAGAAAAATCAGGCCGCGAGACACGCCTCATTTTCAAAATTAATCATGTATTTATCGACCAGAAAAGTGACTTTTGACTTCAGCGCATTCGACTCTCAGCATCTGGGTAACGGTTGATCTGAGAAGATAATTAGCAGGTCTTCTTTCTTTTCTTTCTTTCTTGCTCCCCCCCCCCTCTCTCTCTCTCTCTCTCTCTCTCTCTCTCTCTCTCTCTCTCTCTCTCTCTCTCTCTCTCTCTCTCTCTCTCTCTCTTCTCTCTCTGTGTCTGTCTGTCCGTCCGTCTGCCTGTGCCTGTCTATCTCCTCCTCCCTTCTCTATCTCCCTCCTTCCCACTCTCACTCACTCTCTCCCTCCCTCCCCCCCCTCCCTCCGTAACCATCATCCTCTTTCCCTCCCTCTTCCCTCCCTCTTCCCCCCCCCTTCTCTCTCTCTCTCTCTCTCTCTCTCTCTCTCTCTCTCTCTCTCTCTCTCTCTCTCTCTCTCTCTCTCTCTCTCTCTCTCTCTCCCTCCCTCACTCCCTCCTCAAATCTTTCTCTATCCCTCCCTCTTCCCTTCTCTCTCTCTTTCCCTTTTCGCTTTCACCGTCGAACGCCATCCTCTGCCGATCGATAACAGGTTTC